AGCAAATGTTCTCAAATTTTTGCTCCTCTACCATAATCCGTTTTCTGTATACCTGAATAGTCTCTGCTCATTTGATCAACACAGCACTTTTAAGAAAAGATGGCGTTTTGGCTAATTTTTTACTCTAAGCGCTCATAAAGCACTCAATATATTATACATTTACCTAGAAGCGTGATTGCCTCTCACCAAGCTTACAAATACTCATTTCAGCTAAAATAATGTTTTTTGGAATAATAAAACCAAAAGATGGTATGATTACCTGTTTTACTTGTAACTTACAAGAAGAGGTTACAAAGTATGCGTTTGAAACATGAAACCTGTAAATTTTGCTTTCTATGAGCCACAATCAGCGATTTGCTGATCGCTGAGTGAGTGAGTGAGTGAGTGAGTGAGTGAGTGTGTGAAAAATCGCTGATTGTGACTCTCATGAAGTGAAATAAACAGGTTTAATATAGTTGAAGATGCTAATTTCAAATAACAGACTGTAGTGGTAATTTTTATACGATAGATGGAGTAGATGAAAGCATAGAGTTGATAGTTCCGTTAGAGTACGGCAGTGTGAAGATTGTATATAGATATTAGACAAGCGAGCTAGGACAACTTTTAAGGAAGGTACAAATCGGTTTTTTCATCTCTCTTTACCAAACTCCCCCTTTGGAGAGGGATGGTGAGGGGTGTCCCCCCCCCCCCGCCACCACTGGCAAAAAGAGATGAAAACCGACCCGCTCATGTACCAACTGTGTGTTTGAAACAGTTCTACCGATTTTTTACCGCACTTCAGTTGTTGTTTGAAGAAAGGCATCCAGTCGTAGGTTTGGAAATTGCAACTATTGTTTACCCCTACCACGATATGTGCTCCTGTCATCGTCGACTTGACGATCTCGAGGGGACACGGGTGGGGTAGGTGCTGCTACTGTACCTTTCGACCATTGACAGTAATTGATGGTATGCTCCCACCCGTGTCCCCTCGAGATCGTCAAGTCAGACAGTGAAATTCGATCAAAAAAAAAGGTGATTAATTTAAAAGAAGTTTTTGAGTCAGTTAATTAATTCGATGGTTTTTTTTTTGTGCATTTAGATTTTTCTTGCCTGTAGCAAGTAGTTCGCGTTTCAAACCGCTGTCTAAATACAAAAAGGTAATTTTTAATTAATTTTGCAAATTTAAATATTAGATGATTAATAATGTTTAGTAGTAATTTTGTGATTTCGCGGGCTTTTTTGTACGGGCTGGAATTTTTGGCAAGTTCGGCTTCCATCGTCGCCGGACCGTCTGGTTTGTCGTGGCGTCAACTTGGCCGCCATTTCAGTCCGTTGGATTCGGACAAAACCCGGGTGCATTGCGAAGGCCCGCCTCTTGTAGGTAGATAAACGGAGTGTCGTGAAGCCGCTAGTTTTGCTAAGCGAAATTTTCCCCAAGGGTCGCCAAAAGCCGTTGGTAGAGTCCCCATTTCGTTACAACCCCGGGGACCGTGACATTAGAGAGCTCGGACCGCAGAAGTACGAAGCCAATTGCGTACCTCGATTCGGATTTTAACCAAAGAGGAGAAGATTACAGTTCATCTCGGGCGGTCATAGCGGAAACATAGTACGCGAAGCCGTGCGACGGTACGTTGGTCTCTCTCTTCAGCGGAGTGAATCTCCCGGGAAATGCTCGACTTCGTCGATGCTCAGCTCTCTAGAAAGCAAATCGGAAGCCTTTCGTCCAGCCGCCACAACCTCCGCACCACCAATTTCGGCCATACCGCACACGGGTTACTTTTCGTCGCTGCACGCCATTTCCGCAGCTTGATCGGCGCCATTCCGAGACCGCCGCCATCATCACAGGTCGTCGGAAGGTCGACAGTCGCCATCGCCAGGACCTTGGTAAGGTCACCGGCCGCCATTACCGCTCCATCCGTCGCCATCACCAATTCATCCGTCGCCATCATCGCATCGAAAAACCTGCGCAGGTATGTCCGTACTTTCGTTTCATGGCCATGAATAGTTTGTTTTTTCAACCGAGTTTAGTCCAACCCGAATGAATGTGAATATAGATTGAAATTTGAAGTTTTTTCGTTGAGTTACTTATTTTTCTGCCACGGTTTTTTAGCTGACTCGCTCGCCATTGAGTTCTTGGGCTCGTATTGGATTCGCATCAGACACATTCGGTTTGTGGACTTCTTTTAGATTGCGGGTTTCACTGATGTTAAATGGATCGGATAAAGGTGTACTTTCGATAAAGATTAGTTTTGCTTTCAAGTTTTGAATTTCATTGAGGAAGGGTTTTTAATCATACCGTTCGGGTGGTCCTCTGAGGATCAGTCTCTAAGTCGGGCAAAGAAAACACGACCGGTGGTCTCTCGTAAAGGGAGTGGCGCTTAAGCCACCGAGTTTCACTTGAACCTCGAGCATTCTTCGCGAACGGTTACACCGTATTAATTATTATCACAGTCGAAGCTCGCATACAATTTCGCAGTCTGTACAGCAGACTAAAACATAAAGGTTAACTGTTATTTCTATACAAACCCAAGTAACATTGCAAGTTTTATCGAAGTTTTTAAGCGTTCAACAAATCTAAAACACGATCTACAGAACGCTCATAAAACCCAAATTGTAACATGGAAAGCGCAGTATCGAAGGTCACTCCGAACACCTATCTTGGGTCAACATTATTCTCAGTGTGCAGGTGTGCCGATTGTGCCGGCAGTGCCGGTCACAGAGCAGGCTGCGATTTTTTTGTAAAATATGAATATTATGGCATATTTGGCAGCCCGGTATTTCTGACAGCTTGAATGTTTTGGTTTGCAATCGCAAGTATAAAGTGCCCATTACACATATCAATATATTGACAATACATTGACATACTGACAAGATTATTGAAAAGGTGATATCAACAATCAATACGAAACTAACGATTTTAAATTGGCTCACCACTTTAGTAGCCTATTGGTCCCAAGCAAACGATTAACGTACCCTATTCTAGTTGAAATTCTATTACTACACTATGTTTGTTTTGATTCGCTATGAAAGTTTGACAGATAACATCAGGGGTGTGTGGATTCATGCAGAACATGCAGGGGTGAGTGAAATAGCTTGGGACTGCTTGGGACCGTTGTTCTGGTACTGAGTGAGCCAAAAATAATAATGATTTTCTTCGGAACCCAGTGGTCTTAGAGTTACCTCTATGGTGATATTGAAGACGATGATTGATGACAAGTATTGACGAAAAGCTGATTTTAATTTCATTTTGTCAATACTCAGAATGTATTGACAAAAATACAGGCAATTTCGCCGTCAATATCATAAGATAATCATAAGAATTTGGACTAATGTTGCAATACGTTAGAAGCTTTTTTACCTCAATGTATTAAAGTCAATAAAATACTTGTCTCAGTTTCCCCACCCAAGAAACATAGATCAGCGAAAGAAAGTGTGTTTAGAGTTTATGTTTGCATTCGGGTCCAAACAGAAACGATTGCTGGACCTGTATGTTTTGAAAATACTAGCTACACACTGCATTCGGATCACCGAGGTCGGTAAATGTTGTCGGGTTTTTTAATAGCTGAAAAAATTGGAAAAATTACATATGACCGTTACTCGAAGGAATTCAATAAAATCGACAAATTTGATTTGTATCATTTTCACATTTTCGGAATAAATTTCCATTTTTTTTTTAATTTTTCACTAATTAGTAAACTTTTACCAGACAGTTCCGTAGTTCAAACATGACCAAACAGTGGAGTCCTGGTTTAGTGGATATATATAGAAACCAATTTATATATAGATTCCGGATATCCAGAGGACCGTTTCCTGGCCACTTGGTTGCAGAATCGATATGGTGATGGTATATTTCCTCTATGCTCATGATTATATGCAATTTAGGAAAAAAATCGCGGATCTCTAGGTCTACTTTCAGGAATTGACCATTTTCCCGGTGAATCCGAATTTCCACAGAGCCACCTTTCACGGGTTTTATCGTTCCGATTGGCCACCCACAACTCCAATCGGTTCTTTGTCTGTTCTGTTTTTCGGACCAGTGCGTACTCTTGCCCCACTTTACTCTACTCCGCCATACAAACTTGACGTTGATCTAAGGTGTTAGTTGAGAAATGGAATCTTGGTTTGGTTTAGCAGAAATAAAACTATATTTTTACAAATGAAGTAGTTGTGAAGTGACAAAATTCCCAATCAATTATACACAAATACGGATCAGAGCAGCTTCTTGAAATATTAAGATCAATGTTTATGAAATTATTTTCATTTTAAAAGAACAACAAAGCAGAAGAAGATCCATTAATTCCCCACCTTCCTTTCCAACATCACAGTTCATTGTATAACAAGTCTCATAAAACATCCACACGAGCCCTCATAATTCACCGCTAAGCCGTGTTTACTACCGAAGAATTCCGTTTGCCTATTTAATCACTCCTTGAACAAAGTTGTATACCTTCAAAAATATCCACCAAGCGAAGGAGCGGAAAGAATCGCTGGTCCATATATCCGTACCCACATCATAAGCGGGACGATGTAGGGACATTTTTCGGAACATGCGCGAAGCTTGCTCAAGCACCATGTTTTCCATTCCCACCGCCATCCGCTTCCTGGGCCAATTCATGCACACGGCTGACACGGGACACGGGATTCCATTCTTCCTCCTAAATATCTCAATTTATCATTCTATTCTATGTATCTCTAAACCAACATTGACTTTCGTTCTGCTGTGCTCTGCATAATGATGCGAAGGATCCAGCCCTCCCGGTGGCGAACGGCCACGGCGACGGGGGATAGTTTATGTAATCATTTTGCGAACCTATTCACAGAACAATTTTCGTTCCTTCTTTCGGGATCGGAGGAATGGCCTTCATCTTTGTTTCGTCTTTTGTTTTCCGCTTGAAAATTCTATTTTCCTATTTTCCAGAACTTTAACGTGATCGGTTCACTCTTTAAATCAATAATTCTCTGCTTTTCTTTGCTCTTTCTTCAAGCAAGGCCTAGAAATCCAAATTTTAAAAAATACTCACCCAATTAGCAGCAGACAGCTTCCAGTTCACCCACAAAAAAAAAACACCATTCACTGTGTCAATACACCTGAAGCGCAAACAACTCCTACACTCCTCGAGAGTCATCTGTGGACTGATGGATTTTCGTGAGCCAGAAGAAAATTTCGACTCTCCGCGATCCTGATAATGTCGCCGCAAAAGGCCATGCGTCAACCGGGAAGGTGCAAAAACAAACCCAGCGTTTCCCGCCAAACACGAACCCGCCCCGAGCGAGCATGCCTCCCGGCATGGCATTCCCGAGTGTCCACGTGGTTAGCTCTCATGCCATGCCATGTGAGCTTGACCATCGGAGCCCCCGGCGCCTCGGCACGTTCGGAGTGACAGGCAGTCTGGTAGTCTGGCAAGAATCAAAACAAAATACGCGTTAGTTTCGGAATCTTCTCTCGTGGAGAGCGAAAGAGTGAAAGTTCGTTCATTGGGATGAAAGATGGGAACATTTTTATTGATGTTCCCCTCACAGCTTCAACGACCCACCCTTTTTATTTTAGGCTTTTACGCTTCTTTTGCGAGCGTTTGGTTAGCTCCCAACTCAGTGCTCCAGATGTACCTCCACAGTAATTAAATGAGAGCTTTCTATATGTATATTGTGTGGCAAGCAAAATGATTTGCTATGCCCATGGAAGTCGAAAAAAACTCGAGTTTTCCTTGATCAGATCGGGAACCGAACCTGCCGCCTTTACTCTGACTAGGCTATCTGAGGCTCTCACCCACGAGAGTTATAATAATAAGCATGATGAGAATAGCGGGTTCGGCCTACACGGCCTGAGCGTCTGTTCACCATGGAGGTGCGGCTCAAACAGCGTCTGACTGGCATCCAGCGGCTGAATAAGAAATGCTGTATTGTGTCAGCTAAATCTAAGATGGCAGCCCCATCTACACAATAACTGAGCGTCTGTCCACCATGGAGGTGCGGCTCAAACAGCGTCTGCCTGGCATCCAGCGGCTGAAACAAGAAATGCTTATCCCCGAAAGCTATACCCAAGATGGCAGCCCCATCACGGCGGATAGGAGACCTTAGGCTAACTACCTACTGTCCCCGAAACTTTACAACTGTTACAGAAACCAATAGAGAAAGATCACGGACTGATATTACGGCAACGACTTTTAGCGCAAAACAACGGACAAGAATTGGAACATGGAATGTACTAACGCTAGCCCAACAGGGGAAGCTGGCACAACTCGCCAGCGAGGCTCGACGCATGAAGCTCGAAATCCTGGGACTAAGCGAAGTCCGTTGGCCAAACTTTGGAGAACACAAGCTGCCGTCGGGACAGGTACTACTCTATTCTGGTATTCGAGGTGAAAACGCTCCCCGCCACCGTGGAGTTGGTTTCCTGCTTAGCGCCCAAGCAAATGCGGCGCTCATCAAGTGGGAACCTATCAATGAGAGGATAATCGTTGCCAGATTCAGAACGCGGGTTCGTAACCTAACCATAATCCAATGTTATGCGCCAACCGATGCTGCCGAGTTACAGGACAAAGAGAACTTTTACAGTCAACTGAATGCAGTCGTGGATAAAATTCCGAGAGGTGACATCAAGATCTACATCGGCGACTTCAATGCGAAGATCGGCTCCGACAACACGGATTATGAGCGTGTCATGGGGCGCCATGGTCTTGGCGAAATGAGCGAAAACGGTGAGCTGTTGGCAGAGTTTTGTGGCAATAACGACATGATGATCGGGGGTTCGCTCTTCCCCCATCGACCAGTGCACAAAGTCACGTGGGTTTCCCGTGATGGACATACCGAAAATCAAATCGACCACATCTGCATCAGCCGAAAATGGAGAAGGAGCCTTCTTGACGTTCGGAACAAACGCAGTGCCGACATCGCGTCTGACCACCATCTCCTCGTTGGAGAGATCCGCCTTCGTATCGCGCGGGTCCAGCGGCGGGAGGAGCGGCTCGGACGGCGATTCAACACACGCCGATTGGAAGATCCAGCAGTAAAAAGGTCATTCGTCGAGGAACTGGAGACCAGAGCTGCGGATATTCCTGATGGTGGCAGCGTAGAAGAGCAATGGACGGCGATCAAGGATGCCTTTACTGAAACGAGTGAAAACAACCTGGGCGAGCTGCGCGCTCAGAGAAAGGAGTGGATCACGGATGACACCTGGAGGAAGATAGAGGAGCGGAGAAATGCAAAAGCCGCGATAGAGCGGGCGAGAACCAGAGGAGCGAAGAACCAGGCCCGCCAACTGTATTCGGCTCTCGAGAAGGAAGTGAAGCGCTCGTGTAGGCGGGATAAGCGAGCGTGGGTGGACTCCCTAGCCGATGAAGGTGAGAAAGCCGCAGCAACAGGCGATATCCGTCTCCTCTACGATATCTCACGACGCCTGAGTGGAGCAAGGATGAATCCTAGGATGCCAGTGAAGGACGCGACTGGTCAGTTGCTCACCGACCCCACTGATCAGCTGAAACGCTGGTTTGAACACTTCGAACAGCTTCTACAAGTTTCGTCGGTCAACCAGCCATCAACATCTCGGCATGAACCGCCAAGAGTGCGACGCATCACTCGCGTCAATTCTGAGGCGCCATCCCTACCGGAGATCGAAGCTGCTATCCGAACCATGAAATCCAACAAGGCTCCCGGGGTCGATCGCATATCAGCAGAGATGCTCAAAGCTGACCCCATGCTATCTGCACAAATGTTGCATCAACTATTCTGCAATATCTGGGACACCGCGACTTTTCCGGCTGACTGGATGCAGGGCGTCTTAGTGAAGGTCCCAAAGAAGGGGGACCCAACTGTATGCGATAACTGGCGTGGCATTATGTTACTGTGTTGTGTTCTCAAAGTTCTATGCAAAGTTATCCTCAACCGGATACAGGAGAAGATCGACGCGACTCTCCGACGGCAGCAGGCGGGATTCCGTGCTGGAAGATCCTGTGTGGACCATATTGTCTCGCTCCGCATAATCTTGGAGCAGGTCAACGAATTCCAAGAGTCCCTTTACTTGGTTTTCATTGACTACGAAAAAGCTTTCGACCGACTCAACCACGAAAACCTGTGGGGCGCCCTAAGGCGCAAGGGAGTTCCGGATAAAATCGTCAACCTCATCGAAGCTCAGTATGAGGCTTTCACGTGCAGGGTGCTGCACAACGGAGCCCTATCTGACCCTATTCGGGTAGTCGCTGGAGTGAGGCAAGGATGTATTCTATCACCGCTACTGTTCCTCATCGTAATCGACGAGATAATGGTTGGTGCGATCGACCGTGTGCCGAACCGTGGGTTGCTCTGGCAGCCTATTACAATGGAGCATCTAAACGACCTAGATTTGGCGGATGACGTTGCTTTAGTATCACAACGGCGTTCTGACATGCAGAGTAAGCTCGACGATCTCGCCGAACGCTCCTCAGCGGCAGGTCTCAACATCAACGTCAGCAAGACTAAATCGTTGGATATCAACACGGGAAATCCATCCAATTTTACGGTAGCTGGTCAGGAAGTGGAGAAGGTTGAAAGTTTCCAATATCTTGGCAGCCAGATAGCGTCGGACGGCGGAACCAAGAGTGACATAGGTGCACGGATCAAGAAGGCAAGGGCTGCTTTTGCGAGTTTACGAAACATCTGGAAGTCAAATCAGATTAGTCTCCGCACGAAGATCCGAATTTTCAACTCTAACGTGAAATCTGTACTGCTGTACGCTAGCGAAACATGGTGCGTATCAGCGGAGATCACACAGAAGCTGCAGGTGTTCATCAACCGATGCCTGCGGTATATAATTCGTGCTTGGTGGCCTCACAACTGGATTTCGAATGCCGAGCTCCATCGACGGTGTCACCAGAAGCCGATATCGACAGAAATTCGGGAACGTAAGTGGAGGTGGGTTGGCCACACTCTACGGAAGAGCGGAAATGAAATCTGCAAACAAGCGCTGGATTGGAATCCAGCCGGACATCGCAGCAGAGGCAGACCCAGGGGCTCATGGCGGCGAAGCCTAAACAAGGAGATTAAGCAAGTCGACCGGAATTTGACCTGGGCCCAGGTCAAGGCGAAAGCAAACAATCGCCCAGGATGGAGATCTTTCACGTTGGCCCTTTGCGCCAGGGATGGCGCTCAGGACACTTAAGTAATGATGAGAATGGTGGTGCATAGCAAGAGAACGCAAAAGCTTCATTTATGTATTTAATTTCCGGTGAATGGGATTGCAGCGGTAACTGAATGCGATTTGAATTAGTAGCATTGTAGATATTGGCACACAGTTTAAAATTAGCCAGAAACAGATTGATTTATGTTTAATGGAAGAATATCGAGATGCAGGATTATCAGCGAAACGTAAAGCCACCCCGCATAAACAATAACCATAAGATGCGCCTAACCACCAATTCACAGATATCATCCCAATTTTATGTGGTATGGTCGCACCATCTAAGATATCGTCAGTATATGGTACGCGTTTATTAGGGACGGAAGCCACCGGTAATCAAGGCGATCTGTCAAACATTCTAGGGATTACAATTTTCTCGACTGTGTTGTCACTGGTGTTCCAACCCTAATAAAGAAAATACCAGACCAGAACAATACCCCAAATGATAGAACTACTCCACAAATGGTTTGGCTGATACCCTGAATACGTCGTTTTTAAGCAAAATAACCATATACAAATTTGAATAGGAAAGATATTGCGCGTTTCACATCAAATTGGATTAATAAGCGCGTTTTCACTTATTAAAAAGTGTGATAAAACTGCAAGTTTACGTCTAATCGTCTTGGTGTCTTCGGTGCACTTATTCCTTATGATGCAAGCAATAAGTGCTCAAAACGATTTGACGGAAACGTGCACTTTTATCACACTTTTTGCATTTTTGGGACAGTCCAGTTTCAGATGCAATCAGCAATACACAAATTCTTCCATTCCCTCAAACTTGGTTTATCACCATCTAACATCAGTTCACTATCAGCCAGTGCTGCAAAATCTCGACCATATGCACTCGTTACACGGATATGTGGAGAAAATGTTGCGAACAAGCAGCACTGTTTGTGATTTATTTTTCGTCAGAGTAAACCAGAGATGCCAGATCCACAGACATGTCTGTGAATTCACAGAC